TGGAGCGTGCCTTTGTTCACACCGATTACGAGTACGAGCACCAACCTCAAGACGAGCACAAAATTGTTTAACCGTTAAAAAAGTTGTTGTTTTAGTCACTTTCTCATTTTTTCTTGACATTCACTTGTTTTTCCCAAAAAAACCCATAGGTTTTTCGATTTCTTTTTATTTTCTAGCATTTTCCCAGTTGAGTCTCCACCGTTTCTTTTCGTGATGCATTTTAGTCTGGTCTGATCGTAACCTGTGCGTTTTAATGTCTATACATAATTTCTGAATATACATAATTTATGAATAACTTGCATAATAATTGAAAGTGCCTGATATGCACGAAATCCTCTTGATCTGATGCGTTGTTTTACTGACGTTCTTTTTTTTACCCTTTTCATTTTCCCTGTAAGTAGTGTAGGTGTTGAGGATCACTCGATAAGAATCACCTCAGTGAGAATTATCTCGCTCAGTTTGGAGCTACCCCGGTTGTTTCCTAGTAGTTTTTGAATTACCGTACCAGTTTCCAGTCAAGATGATGGCGACTTGAAAAAGATTCGGTTTTGTAGTATAGTACTAAATTAAGACGAACAGCTTTACGAGCGAATGGTAACAATTCCGTGTTTTAGACATTAATAGGATAGTGGTAGAGAGTTGATTCGGGTGAATAGTCATTTTATGATGGAAATTCTTCTCAATTTTTCTCTTCAGTTGAACATTTGTAGAGTTTTAATTGCTGAGTCGCATCCGTCTGCTGAACATGAACGCAATTAGCAATTTTAATAAAGGCATATTTTGTACGGACTGAACTGTTGTGAATGGTTTTTGACTTAGAAAACATCATAGCATCTTGGAATTCGATTCGGAGCTTTCCGGCTGAAAGGCTACGTCCGGGATCGAACTGATGTATAATTGCGCTTGCGAACGAGATGGTGGAGAGCTAGTGTGACGCCAAAAATGGAAAACGGGAAGAAATCGTAGACAAGGTAGAAAATAAAACCCTCCCTTCAGTGACAGCAGAGGAAATAGCACTGATTAGTGGGCGGGCTAAATGGTGTTATGCGGGGCCAATGCTACGTCCCATAGCCTCACAAAGGAGGTCTTTCAGGGCAAGCCACGCTTTTTCAAAACGGTTTTTTGCATATTGTAGGGACGCATGTAGGGAACACAAAACCATGTTTCATTTTCGCTGAACGGTTTTAGCAGTACCAAAAAAGAAGCATAAGGTACTGTTAATGGTTCGATCCTCGTGGCGATTAAATTTTGCATATGGGATAATGGTCGAGGAAATCCTCGACAGGGGGTCGTATTTGCTCCGATGAGAGTTGGGAGGGGGTCGTAATCAAAAGGTTCATCAACGGACACAACGGTGCTGCTGCCACTTATTCGCTGTCATCATTAATTTCACAAGTGTTTTAGTCAGCGTAATGCAAATGATACCTTCATCTACAGTACTCGCCGTTTGAAATCGAAAATTCACGCGAATAACGCGAATCCTCGTTAATTTCGTGAATTCGTTATAACTCGGTTCAAAATTGAGCTTTCGAGAATCCGAAGATATCTTTGAATTCAGCTCGTCGGACACTATAAGAATGTGCTTTGATACTTTGGAAAAGCTCCATATAGGATTGCGCCATGCACTCGATTTTCATCTCAAAAAGTAGTTGCTCGCATGTGATGTGTATATAATCCCGCTTATGCGGGCTGACCGCTACACACAGAGAAGGGCCTCAAAACTTACCCCAGAATGCGCCACGTACTCACTCATCTCATCCACTACATTGTGAGATTAGATGAATGTTATTTTCCGAATTCTTAGATCTTCATTTCGTTTTTAAGCTTACTGGCTTTACGTGTTCCCTCTGCTCTCAATATCCCATCCTCTGTATATCAAGTGGAATCTTTGAACAGTTCTCAGCAGGCATAGTGGGCCTATTATGTGACATTTTCCATTTTCAGAGGAGATGTTTTGCAGAAAGCTGTGAAGATAGCGAACAATTTCCTTCACTGTCGTAGACTACGGTCACTTGTCTGTAGGAATTATGTGGAAACTTGGTCGCAAGTGAGCGTTCCTTCCGTGGTGTGGCCCCAAACATGCCTCCTCGTCATGCCCTTGTGGAAAGTTCAGATTTTTTGCATTTCCAGATGAACTCGCAGACCTGAAATGTGCCCCGTTAGCTTCCCCGTGAAAAATGCTATCGAATGATATGCATTACTTCCCCAGTTGAAACTTTGGTTTTTCACCGTTTTCAGCCTTCCCCTATTGCCGGATTGGGCACTATCCCACGATTACTGCCCCAAAATCTCAAAGTTTCATTTTTCGTCGAAACTTTGTCTATTGGGGTAATTCGATGCCCTGATTACGAATATGACATTCATTTTTGATGCTGGTGTCATTTGGCGCTGGCGCCATTTGGCGCCACGGCTGTTTTCACCAAATCTGCTGAAACTTCGTCATTTGGGGTTATTTGGGGTCCTGATTACGAAAACGACACCCGTTTTTAGCGCTGGCGCCATTTGGCGCCGTTTGGCGCCAATTTGGCGCCACGGCTGTTTCCACCAAATCCGCTGAAAACGTGTGTATAGGGGTTATTTGGGGTCCTGATCACGAATATAACATCCAGTCTTGACGCCGGCGCCATGTGGTGTCACAAACAACACTTCACAGTCTTAGGCACCTTTCTCAGAGCGCCGACTGTCAGACCGTGGAAAAGGTCATCGAATCGGAGACTTTCCCACGACAGGAAGGAGCCAGACCGTGGAAAACTGTGAGCTAAGCCAGAAGCATATTTCACGTTTTCACTGGAGATGCCTGTATGCGTTGGGCAGAGCAGCAATTCGACTGTAAGCTCTCCAGCTGTCACTGAGGATGGTAGTACCGGGCTCGATGTACTACTTCATGATGAGCCGCAGTAGAGTTGAAACGTCTTTCCTTCGGACCATCCGAAGGAGTCCACTTCCTCTTTCAATGCCTCCAAACAGCCACTTGTGCCTGCGTACCCAACGTCGGCGGTTGTATTTGATAACCAGTGTTTCGTCAATTTCCATCTCGCACCCGAACCTTCCGATGATCGGCGGGTTCCTCCTGAAGTGCCCCACACATACGTCGCGGAAGAACCGCTCCCACTGAATTGAACTGGTGTGGCCGACGTTGAGCTCGTATTCCTTGTCCTTCACCTTGCCCATGTCGCGCAGCCAGAAATAGGGCAGTGCGAACACCGTGGACTCAGGAAAGTTACAGTTCTCGAAAAAGGAATCCTTTCGGGCATGAACCCTGGTCTCGTTCGACGGTCCAGTGCGGCACGCTCGACGATTGCAAATCCAGCCGTTGTGCCGTTCGTCGTTGATCAGGCTCATGGATCGTTGACATGAATGGCATAGTGGCACAGACATCAACCCCATGGATCGCAACCAGTAAGTGCAGATTATTCAACTTGAGCGTCTCGTACACGTCCTTCAAGGCTAAGCCCAGTAGCTCTCATTGACGATTGTGTCGCTAAAGAGTAGCAAGAGCCATCGTTATTCTCCGTTGTCGAAAACGTGAAACATGCTTCTGGCTCCTTCCTGTCGTGGGAAAGTCTCCGATTCGATGACCTTTTCCACGGTCTGACAGTCGGCGCTCTGAGAAAGGTGCCTAAGAGTACGCTCTGACTGTGAAGTGTTGTTTGTGACACATGGCGCCGGCGTCAAGACTGGATGTTATATTCGTGATCAGGACCCCAAATAACCCCTATACACACGTTTTCAGCGGATTTGGTGGAAACAGCCGTGGCGCCAAATTGGCGCCAAACGGCGCCAAATGGCGCCAGCGCTAAAAACGGGTGTCGTTTTCGTAATCAGGACCCCAAATAACCCCAAATGACGAAGTTTCAGCAGATTTGGTGAAAACAGCCGTGGCGCCAAATGGCGCCAAATGACACCAGCATCAAAAATGAATGTCATATTCGTAATCAGGGCATCGAATTACCCCAATAGACAAAGTTTCGACGAAAAATGAAACTTTGAGATTTTGGGGCAGTAATCGTGGGATAGTGATCCGGCAATAGGGGAAGGCTGAAAACGGTGAAAAACCAAAGTTTCAACTGGGGAAGTAATGCATATCATTCGATAGCATTTTTCACGGGGAAGCTAACGGGGCACATTTCAGGTCTGCGAGTTCATCTGGAAATGCAAAAAATCTGAACTTTCCACAAGGGCATGACGAGGAGGCATGTTTGGGGCCACACCACGGAAGGAACGCTCACTTGCGACCAAGTTTTCCATATAATTCCTACAGACAAGTGACCGTAGTCTACGAAGGAAATTGTTCGCTATCTTCACAGCTTTCTGCAAAACATCTCCTCTGAAAATGGAAAATGTCACATAATAGGCCCACTATGCCTGCTGAGAACTGTTCAAAGATTCCACTTGATATACAGAGGATGGGATATTGAGAGCAGAGGGAACACGTAAAGCCAGTAAGCGCTTAAAAACGAAATGAAGATCTAAGAATTCGGAAAATAACATTCATCTAATCTCACAATGTAGTGGAT